AGTACCCATCAGGATGAGATTGAACTGCCGGACGTAGAGCCTCAGGCCTTCTTGGCGCTCTTGAGATTCTTGTACAGGTGAGCAGAGAGAGGGGTAGAGTGATGGAAAATGAAGATATATATTTAGAGTTTCATTTCACATTCAATATTAACCCGAGAACTGCACACTCGAGAGATCTGGCCAAAATCTGGTGTGCAAGATAGTGACAAGAAAAAGTAATGATAAGTTCAAGAAAAGAGATTTTTGTGCTATTTTAGATAAGATCTGCATGCATGGGAAATTTGATATATGGATCTGAAACCCCTACAGCAAATGCTGTATGTCGCTGTCGCCTCAAACTACAGCAAATAGTGTGTGTTGCAGTTATCGGGTTAATGGTTGTTTGAAGAAGATAGGTGTGAAAAAGTGAGTCAAATATTTGTGTGAACGTATATATGATACAGAGTGTGTGTGCCGTATAATTTTCATCTCTTAGATTTATGCATTTTGGTGTGGTGTGTTAATTTTATTGTATGATGTAAACCAATTCCTTCTTTAAGCATTCATTAAAGATACTTGAGTTGTTCATACCCTTCTGAAGACATCTCGAGTCATTAGATCTGAAAAAGTTACTTCCCACTCCATCTAGTGATGAGGTGCAGATTGGGCCCGAGACAGTGATGACTGTATTGTACACGGCAAAGAAGTACGCAGTTCCAGCTCTAGAACAAGCCTGTGTAGATTTTCTCAAGCGTAACCTCTCCTCAGATAATGCATTCATGCTTCTTACCCAGGTATAGTGGTTCAAGGACTAAATTATATACTCGTATACATTTGTGTTTGATTGAAAGGTTCCATTTGTTTTGTATTATTCTTTGTATATTTGAAAAATGGAAGGTATAACGAGCTGCTTCAGAATATAACTGAATAAAAATATTTTAGAATAGGCATATAATGAATTGATATCTAGAACTGGACAAAATCTTGCAGGCTCGACTCTTTGATGAGCCACAACTAGCAGCCCTGTGCTTGGAGACAATTGACAAAAACACTGAAGATTCACTAGCAGCTGAAGGCTTCACAGACATTGACCATAATACCCTGTGTCTGGTGCTAGAAAGAGACACCTTGAGGATTCGAGAGGCCAAACTATTTCAAGCAACAGTCAGGTAAGCTACTTTGTGTTGAAATTTGTGCTTTGCTTTTGTTATAGATATTGTATTTTCATGCTATTAAACTAATTTTATGAATTATTTTTTATGTGATTAGAAAAACTGAAGCTAGATAACTAAAGTAATAATTGCTCCTAATAGGTGGTCAGAGGCAGAGTGTGAGCGCGAGGGCTTGCCTGTAACTAGTGCTAATCAGAGACAAGAGTTAGGCAGAGCTCTGTCCCTTATTCGTTTTCCCCTCATGACTGTGGAAGAGTTTGCTCAGGGACCAGCACAGTCAGGCATTCTTACAGACCGCGAGGTTGTCCAGCTCTTTCTCCACTTCACAGTAAGTATAAGATATCTTACATTTTCCTTTTCCAGCACCTTATCCCTGTTACTATTACCCTTTAATACTAATTCACTTTTGAATATTACTTCAGATTAATTAGAGCCAAGAAAGGCTACAGCATTAAATACTTGATATATATATTCCATATTACCTCCTGAAAAGGGTTTTGAGATTCATTATTCTCTTGAGTCTTTCATGTAACCATTTATACTTTCATAAGGTATATTTTTTGTTTCCACAAGGACAGGCCTTCAATATAGTACATATTATTGCCAAACAAAATTGTCATTGTGTTAATATAAAATTATTTTAAAAGCTCATACAAAACATTTATTAGTTAAAAATTGTTACTCAGTGTATTATATTTTCACCAGATCAATCAAGCCTACCTCAAGGCATCATTAAGTGAAAATTTACGCTATGTGGCAAACCTTCTCTCATCATAGGTCAACCCCAAACCCCCGGTCAACTTCCTAGATGTTCCGAGATGCTGCATGACTGGCAAGGAGCAGACGGTGTGTCGTTTCCAGCAGATTGAGTCCAGATGGGGGTATTCTGGAACAAGTGATAGAATTAGGTAGGTTGTGGTCGATTGTTGGTAAAATTAAAAGGAAGGTCAGCATTCTCTCATTTCTTTTGATTCCATATGATTTATGTCAGGGTAAATTTAGGTTTATTTAGTTCTTATGTTATCTGAGTAATCAGAAAGATAGTTGTACAAAATAGAATATAGCGTTCTTTGATTTAATATCTTTAGAAATTTATTTATTTTAATCTCACTACATGTACATAATCAGATAGAAGTAGATTATATGTGTTGTTGATTGTATTATAATTTTTTTGCTGAAATAGTGTCGGATCTAACTTGAGATATGATTTTACAGATTCATAGTTGACCGTCGTATATTTGTCGTGGGTTTTGGAATGTATGGGTCCATCCATGGGCCATCAGAGTATGAAGTGACCATCCAGATCATCCATACAGCAACAGGAAAGGTAAGAAACAACATCTAGTTACATGCATAAAGGAATATTAGTTTTATTGGATGGTTAATCTTTTCTTTTCTTTTCTTTTCTTTTCTTTCTTATCTCCCTCCCCCCCTCTTTGTTTTTTGTTTTTTCTCTTTCTTTTTATGATAATGGGAAGTGCAATTAATATGAGACTTTCTGAAGCTTGACACTAACTTTATTCATTAGTTATTAGGCTTTGGTATAACCTGTTGGTACCAGGTACTTGCTCTCTGCTGTGGTTTTGTTTAATTCATTTTTCTAACACGGGTTCACTAGTGGTTAATCTATGAGCCTTTGTATGCATTTATATGTATTGTCCATTATGAACTTTGTCACGAGTGCTCTGCCACCAAGAAGTCGATTAGTAGCCTAACATACCTTCACCCAATGGGTGATATAAGTTAAAATAGTATTTGACTCCTTGGTGACTAAGTACTAAGTCATCTATGTGTAAACAAAGTCATAAACTAATATCATGGCATTATGGCTTATATTTCATGCCATCCTGGAACAGAGGGTTAAGCAATCTATCCAACCTTGCCTATTAAACTTGTCCCGTGAATTTTAAGGGGAAGAAAAATTCATTTCTTGTGCTATTGTTATTCATTTCTATTCTCATTGACAGTGTTATATAATGAAAATAAAAACTTCACTTTTTAAAATTCAAGGATTGAAGTAAACAGGCAATATCAGTAATTGACTCCCTTGTGGCATAGCACTTATAGAGCCATGTTTTTGTAAGCAAAATTGATAGAGTAAAATCACAGTGGACAGCGTATGTGTACATTTACCCATGATGCCAACATGTTAATGTTTTTGTATGAGATCACTTACATAAAAACTGTTTGAATGTTTGCAAGGTACATAAAGATTAAATCAGGCGCATGTACTTCTAAGTTTATAACAAATGATTTAGGATAAGGTCATTCTTATGGGGGTCATCACTTTTTTTTCTGTTTGTGTCTTTCTTTTCATTTTCTACTTCACTATCAGTTTTGGTTTATATTTGTATATGATGGAGCTCTTTTTTTTCTTTTCTTTTCTTTTTTTCTCCTTTTTTTATATATTCAAAGATTTGGTTATCTTCTACAGTCAAAAAAAAAAGAAAATAGGATCAGAAAAAGAGAAAAATAGGTGAAAAGTAGGATTCAACTAACTGACCTATGTCAATTTTGAAGAGAGGACTAGTATCATTTTACTCAGAAAGACATTATTTAGTGTTTGTCCATTTCGCTTTTTTAATTCCATATTTCCAGAAATATGGAATCACCAATTTTCTTAGGGCCAAACTTGTGTGTAGACAGAGGGGGAAAAGAGTAAAAGAATTGGATATTTTTGTATTTGATTATTCTCATTTTGTATTATCTTTATTTTTTAATTTTTTCTTTGTACAGAAAATTTTTCTGTTTACATTACTTTCGTACTGAGGACTAAGATCCTCACATCATATTATATCTGGTATACTAGAAGAAGACTCTCCAATGTTGTCCATTTTCATGGATTTAGAGGGAGGGAACCTTTGCTATCGTGTTCAGAGAAAGAATCCCGAGAGAGTGCCAGGGTACCCCCTCGGCTGACCTCTTGCTACTGAGGGGAGGCAATCAGATTCTGCTCTATCCTTGCAGGCCCACGGGTAGCCATGGTTAGTGTTATAATTGTTATGGAGCAAACACAAAATAGGTATGGACACTACAGCATCTTCACACAAACAAACAGTCCTTCCATTAAACAAGAAGAAATACATGAAAAGAGGACAAATGTTCTTTGAGTCTTTCTTTTTCCCTCTTCTTTTTTCTCATTTCAGCTGATTTAAGGTGAGAAATTACTAAATAAAAATGTTGGGTACATACTAAACACTGATGTTGATAATTTCAGCACACTTGTTGGGATCTTATACATATATCCTGAGAAAGAATCTTCAGTAATGTGCATGGCTTATACTTTGTGTTGATTTTTAGGTGTGTGCAAGCAACGACACAAACTTTACATCTGATGGTTCTGTGAATACATTTCGTGTCATGTTTAAGGAGCCTGTTGAGGTGCTGCCCAACACTAACTACACTGCTTATGCTACACTGAAGGTGAGTCTGGTATCAAAATACACTTGCACCAAGATTCGTTATTTTGATTAATGTTTTAACCAATACTAATTGACTTTTCCTATCTTTGCAAATGTATTAATTGACTACATTTCTGTACTTTATACCTGGCCTATTTGTATGCTTTGAAAGATAAAACTTGATTGAATGAAAAATGCAGCATACACCACTTCTTATTGGATAGCATATTTCAGAAGAATGTAGGCAACTTATTTAACCCACTCTGGCCGAATAAATTCTTATCATGTCACGGTAAACTGAGCCAAATGCCAGGTAACAGCACCCATACCGTGCACAGTCAAGCCTACTCGTAGTTGTTCACTTGTTTGCCTCCAACTGCAGTCACTGAGAAGATGCAGCCTCTCAAATGTAGCCCCAAATTTTCTTTTTAGCCACACTTACCAAAAATTTGTGTATACTGCAGCCAAAAGTAGAGAGTAGGATAAATGTTTATTCCCCACAATTCTGGATTTTCATTTAAATGGCAAACTGCACAAAGCCCAGCATGTGCCTTAGTATGGCTTGGGGAAATCCCATCTTGAGGTTAATTAATATTTCCTCAGTGTATATATGAATTCTTCAGAATATCTAGACAGACACTGTTGCATGCACATAAGGCAGTTATAGTAGGTGACATGTAGATTTAGTAGATGGGGTAAAATACAGGTAAGGAAAAAAATCATGACATAATTAAAATCTGTCATGTAGTAGATAGCTAGTTTTATTTCTGTCATGTTATATATTTGTTGCTTATACATTTTTGGTGTACTCAGGGTCCAGATTCTCACTATGGAACCAAAGGAATGCGCAAGGTGGCGGTGGAATGTCCATCAGGTGACAGAGCAACCTTCCAGTTCACATATGCAGCCGGCAATAACAATGGTACATCCGTCGAAGATGGACAGATCCCAGAAATCATCTTTTACACTTAGATATGATAGAAGAATGAACCAAAAACAAAATAATGGTTGTGTAATATAGTTAACAGATACCCCAAATCCTGCTGATGACTCCTTAGCAAATTTATTTAATTATTTAGTAAGGACTTTTTTCCACTTTTTGTTTTCCATTTTTCCTGTTAGATACCTGCAGTGTATTGGGTTAGGGAGATAGGGGTTTATAAAAACAATGGTTATGTTTGTGCATTTGGTTATTATTTAGATAACCTTGGCAATGGAAGAAGTCATAAAATTGAGAGGTCTTGGACTTAGGTTCAGTAGATATTACTCAGTGCAAATGATACCTAATATACATTGCATTGGACTGGGAAAACAGTAACTGCAGGATCTTATTTTATGTAGAGAATGTGCCATATAACAGCTACCGTAACTAAGCCTCATAACAATACCTCTGTAAAGTGATCTAGGCATACTAGAGACTTGCTTTAGTTTAAAGAAAGAAAAATCTTTCCCCTCTTCCTTTTTGGTTAGATTTGAGATTTTCGGAGGATAAAATTGGGGTAGGTAAGGGATGTTGGAGTGAACAAAGTGGTGTTGCTGGGGCATAGAACCAAAAATTTATATATTAGTAAGAAAATGCTGGGAATTTTAGAAGTGTCTTGATGATGAAAGTTGAAAATTTAAAAGAATGGAAAAAAAAGTTCTTTTTCTGTTGATGATATGCCAATATTCCTGTTATGGTAATTTTGCAAAAAGGACTTGTAACAGACCATGACACTTTGCTCAATTTGAATAATTTTAGCTTGCCATAACAAACAAAAGAAGTGCTTTTGTCTGTAAAAATAAAAGATGCATGAAAATATTGAGAATGTGGCATTCAAATATGTATGAGATTATAATTTAGTAAACCCACCAAAGTTGCTTTAACATATTGTGTAAATGAGAGGGCTTAGAATGCAGACAATTCAAATGTAGTCAGATCAGAATGTCAATGTATTTGTCAACATGACTTGTTTGAAATGTGTGCATTGTTGATCATGATGGTCTTGGTATTTGTAGGAATGGGTAAAGTGACTGTGATGCATGTTACCATTATGGTGGACAAATAGTGAGGAGTTGTTGCTCATATTTATTTTTAAATATAGTGGATCTGCAGCAAAAGAAAAAAAAAGACCATATAAACATCTTGAGTATCTTGAATGATTTTGAGTGCTGTAGAAGTTTATGAGTTTGATGCAGTTGAAGGTGCTCTGAGTAAGTAAACTGTGTGAATCAAGAATATATTGTAAGAAACTGAGTGACTTGCCCGATAGAGATTGGATTAATATGTGGTTTGTCCAAGACAACTTTCAGGATAGTCTGTCCGATCTTTTGAGTCTGATAGATTAGATGGTTGTGTATTTGTGTGTGTCTAGTTTTGAAGTTAAAGACAAATTAAAGCAATGTATTATATATGTTGCTGATGTTTGTTTATCTTGATTATAAAAGGATTTCCTGAAGGGTAACAAATCAATATTTGTGTATAGAATATGGAAATGTAAACTCATAGGTATATCAGTGTGTCTGTGTTTACTTGCCAGCTTGTACAAATATATAAATATATCACTCATATATACAGGCTGATCTATATACATACACACATACATATGCATACATACAAATATCAATATACATATATATATGGTCTCATTTAGCATCTGAGAACTCCCCTTGTGAGCTACAGAATATACATACACATTATTCACATAAATTTAGATTCGTATACATACATGTGTATATTTAGTTGTTTTTTTGTATGCATAAGTGCATCTTTGTAGACACTTTTTTTCTAACTTCAACAACTTCTAGGAATATCAATGGACCAAGAATCTCTTTTCGTAAATGTCGATTGTAAACGTTGTCTTTAATGTCTTTTTTGTCTTGAAGGAAGATATTATTGACCATTTCTGAATGAATTATGTTTGGCAAAGATAATTCATGGATGAAAATATATTCTCTGTAGAAGAGGA